TAAAAGACATGTAGGACATGTTTAGTGCTGGACTTGTCATTGCCGGGCAAACAGTTGGAAATGATAATCTTAAGGGTCTTTTCCGAGCTAAACGATTCTGTGATTCTGTGAGGGGATGAGGAGGTGCTGATAACTGCCACATTGCTTGCACAGCTCACTTCAGCAGCCACACTCCAGAGTTAATAGTTTATCTTCCACTTCTGCAGCCTCAGAAGGAAGAGGAAGATGGAGCATACAGAGTCCAGACTGCAAAAGACTTCACAGCTTCATCTCATCCTTTCTATCCATATCAGTGTAAATATTTTTTAGCAATCAATAACTTTCTAACATCACTTCTGTGATTTAATTTGTGCTATAAGAAGTATAAGTACAATTTCTTTTTAAAAAGTACAGCAAGTAGTCTTTAGATATAAGTACTATTTCTAGCAGTAGAAGACTAAAGAGAGTGGAAAAATACAAGTAGCTGAAATCGGTAATAAAATAGTAATTGTTACAAGTTTTCATGCATAAACTTACCCAGACTAATGATGGATTGGTTCCACATGCTTGTTTTGAAAGTCACATGCTTTGTTTAAAGCAGAATAAGCAATAGAAGAAAATTGGCTTCTCATTATGGCATCATATTTTCTTTGTGAAAAAGACACAAAATTCCTTATGTATCTAAAAAAATGAAAGAATAAAAGGATTACGTAAAGTTTTCTGAGTAATAATAAAAATGGCTATCTCTTACACTTTGCTTTTCATCCATAGGTATCAGGGTCATTTTTCCATTTGCCAGAAGAGAAAACAAGCCACAAAAGACAGAGTGACTGCCCAAGGTCATCCCTCAGGCTGACACAGCTTTGGAAATAAATATGAGTTTCCTGAATCCCAGCCCAATGTTCTGTCCTCAACAATAAATGAATGGCCATCTTAACCACCAGAGGACAACATTACCCAATCACTCGCATGTCTCTGAAACTGAAGGCCCTCTGGAAAACACAAGGTATTTGCATTTCGGTGGTCTCTGCAGTGTCTGACACTTCCAGTGTTTGTAAAGTCATTTTTTAATGCAATGTAGTGATGACCTAGAGAGAAATGGATTACCTCCATAATCAATTGTAACAAAATTTGCCACTCAGGTGCTTTCCTACATATTAATATGATTTTGAAACTTTCACTCTGGAGACTTGTTCTTGATAGGCTTTGGTATCTAGCCAATATTTTATAGGCAACATTTTAATTCAATAATACTTTAAGTGCAACAACAAATTTGACAAATGAAGCATCTGTGTGAAATATACAAATTAAATTCTACATGGGGAAGGCAAATCTGAGGCTGTCTGAGCAGAGATTATAACAGCAGTATGATTTAAAACATAACACTGATGAAACTTTTGGAAAATATCCTTCCTTTCTTCACGAGAAAGTAACTCGTAGGCAGATGTCTATACATCTTTAGAGTCTGGAGACTCAATTTCTTTACAGAGTAATTACTAGATAACAAAATTTTAATCACTGTCTGGACCATTAAACTTTGGTAAAGGTGACTGAAATGATCTCGGGGGAACCAAGAGCTTGTTTAGAACAGGGATATTAAGCAGCAGTAACTAAGTAACACAGCGGGAGTGTGAGTCCCAAGAGAAAATATGTTACAATGACAATGTTTATTACACATCTCAATTACTTTGTACTATGCACTTCAGCTTTCTGCAACAGAAATCTACCACTGCTTCAGACCTCCAGAAGCCTGAAGAGCTACACAGGTGTCCTGAGTGCCTTCTCTGGTCTTGAGACCAGGTGGCACAGTCTAGTCATATCCATCCTGAAATTATAAACGGCCATATCCAAACTGCCCAAAGTTAATAGCTTATCCTATATTAATTCTCAGATCATCCCAGGAATTACCTGGAAGATTGATAATACACTGCAGCTGTGCATGGGACTGTTTGAACAGTTTAACAGTGCAGGTAGCCTACTTCTGCCCCTCTGCCTGTTCATTTACTAGTCAAAACAGAACCAATGATGATCTCCTAGCAAAAACAATATGCTTCTCATGTGTTATGAACAAAAAAAGAGCTGAAAAGGGATGGACAAAGAAGAATGACGAATGGAGAGGGAAGACAGGGCCAAAGTTCTTAACTGGGAAAGCTCTGAGTTAGCAGTGTTGTAGATAAACGTGAGAAATGCAGGACGGAAGAAGAGAGGATGCTGCAATACTCAAATTACCAAAGGTTGAGGGATGGAACTAGTTAAGGGTTTGGAGCAGCATCTGCATTTTAGATCTACTAGGCAAGAGGAATCTTTGAAGTTCAGAGTCAGCCATGGGCAGAGGCTCAGCTGAAGACAAATCTGAGGTCCAGGGAAGGTGGTGCTATTCTTGGTGAGCAGAAAGGAAGTAGCAGGGAGGGCTAAGGAGACAATGTATTGTTGATTAGGGTTATCCACCACTAAGCTGGATCCCCACAAAGCAGAGGCAAGCACATGGCCTGAAATTCATCTGACTAGACCTGAACACCTGACAGTCTCTCAGAGGTTGCCAGCTGTGAAGGAAGCCTGCAGTTCATCTTCAATGTTATTCAGAATTATTAAAAGAGACACAGAGGTCAAAAGAGAAGCAAAAGTTTCTAAAGAAGCTGCCCACATTGAGAATATTACCCCAACAATACATATTAAAGTGATCATCCCTGTCCTACTGATGTGCTGGTGAGGCAGACCTTCAATGCATCCAAGCTCAGGAGGCAATAGTGGGTGTTAAAATTATTCAAGCTACCTACTTGGCCAAGTATTTGTGGTTAGAGATGCTGAAGTCCTGCAAGTCAAAGATCACAGAAATCCAAAGAGCGTCTGAGAAATGGGTTCGGCGTCCCTGTACCCAATCCAGCTTTACTGCTGACATCTAAACTAATAAGTAAGTTTAATAGTGCCAGCTATTGTAGCCTCTTTACTGCATAACTGTAGGAAGGTGATTAATGTGGTTTTGGAACAGGGGCAAATAACCCTCTCTTAGGCAGTTCTCAGGGACAATGTTGGTTTCTGATGAGTCAGGGACCATTTCCAGTAGGCAATCTGGATACAGACCCTCTGTTTTGAATTTAAAAATAGAGGCACAGTAAAAAAATTTTGGTTGGGTTTGTTGCCTAAAACTGGGAGAAAAAAAACTCACCAGGCCATATTAGAATAAGTAAGATAGAGAGCAGGTCTTTAATGAAGGCCTTTTGGCGCAAGGAGTACAAAGACGCGCACCCGTGTCCAGGGGTTTCACAATTTATGGTCCAACCCAAGAACTATCTGGTCCCAGACCCTCCCCAAATCTACCCCCCTGGTACACCTTCCTGGAATTGAGTCAAAGGTCCCAAGATCCCTTTCTTCCTCATCTTCTTCATGGCATGTACTGCGTCTGCAGCTTCTCCAAGGTTCCAGGTTTGACGGTTGCTTTGACTATGATGGTATCTTCTTGTTCCTGCCTGGGTTGCATATGTTCTTTAACAAGGTGTATTTACTATAGTCCTGCATTAGAAGGAGGCTAAACAAGCCTAAAGAATTTAGAAAATTTGATATGAAGTGGGGAATAGGGTTTGGTAAGTATTAACTACTGTACTAAAGTGTGAGAGACTATACAACTATACTAAAAATTTATATTTACTACAAAGCTACTTTAAAATCTACGAAAAGCTAAAATATCCTAAAGACCTTATGGCATCAGGTTCAAGGACAAAGAACAGGTTCTGATACTGTTCAGTGTATTATTCCAGATGTATCCAGACTCACTATTCTGGGATGAATAATAGTTTTGCTGCTAGCAATTTTGCTGTTTCTTAACAGGAGTTTAACCTAGATGAACTTCATATTGGTAGCTAAAGGTATCATCTAGGAGTGTGATACGGAGTGTAATACAGGTAGTAGTTGGCCAACAGCTGATGTTTTGTGGTTCTGTGAATACTGCAATACATACATAAACATTTGTGGGGAAAAAATACCTTATAGTAATAAACTTTGCCTGGCAAATTATGGTGCAATTTAGTGTGTGTTTTACTCCCTTTCTTCATACTGCCAGATAATCACATGGACAGGCAGCATGCTGTGGATTTCATTTGTCAAGATTGTTGCTAAGGAAAAAGATATTAAGGACTGAGAAACTCCTGGAAGCTCTTCATGTGCTGAGGTGCCAAAAGAAGACAGGAGATTTAACAGCTGAATCCTGAAAGGCTTTGTGTTGGCAGCCAGCATATGACTCAAAGTTTGCTATTATCTTTTTTCTCAACATGGAGATACAGCCCTGTAAGGACTTAAAGAGAACAGTTGCCTGTCTCAGACAGTTAAGGCCACAGAAGGACTTTCTCATGAGATAAGCACAGAATGGAGTGACAGGATGTTGCTAACTCCAGGCCTGGCAGAGGCAAGAGTACTGCTGGAGGTGCCCCAATGGAGGTTTACGAGTGGTGGAGGGAAATTAGTGAAAAGAAATCAGAAGAAGAAGAAATAACATCAGAATGCACTTATGTCATGGTGCACTGATTGTGCCTGCCGGGACTGCAAGAGTGTTTGTTTCAAAGTGCCTTTACTCCATGGTGCAACGATTTTATTAGTAGTATAATATATTTTATTATAAAAATGTGTTATTCCCGGTACTGTACCCCTGTTACCCTTTTTTCCTATTGGTTCAACATAAGCTCTCTCCTTATTTGTCCTACCTGCTTCACCTGTTCTCCCCAGAGACAGTTTCTCATTTGTCCAGGTTCATACAGTTCCACTCCTTTTTGCTGTGATTTGCCACTGTTGAAATAATACTCCCAATCTCCACCCTTTGTTCCAGAAAAGTCCCTGCTCTCCCTATAAAAACTGGCGTCCATGTTCAATAAACATTCATTCTGTGCCACAGCATGACTCTGTGCAGAGTGATCCTTTCAGGGTCTTGCATAAGGGGGGTTACGGCTCTCCCCCCGTCATAGTACCTCCTGAATAATCCATCCAGACCAAAATTCCCACTGGGGCGAGCTGTGTAAAGAAGCAACAGGTTGTATGCATATCAATGGTCAAACAAATATCACCGGTCAAACAAATATCACCCCAAGTTATGGGACAGGTGGCATCTGCAACCACCACTGAAGCCCCTGCCAAATAGGACCTGAAACTTGGACTGCAAGTTAAGGTACCACACCAGGAACTCGAGACAAGATAAAGGTGGTACTATTGTCCAGGTGTTATCTCAGACTTAAGGGGAGGTTAACAAAGCTGAGGGAGAGGACTGTATTACTGATTATGGACACAAAGAATGCAAAGTTTATGGACTACAAAGAAAGCCAACTCAGTAACTGTGATGAAATCAGCTCTGACTGGGTAAAAGGTAATTCTGGCAGGGAGAGATCACAAGCACTGACTCACAACCCACTGACTCAGGAAACCCCCAGACTCGAAAGAAGAGAAAGACTGAGCATGCAGACTAATTCGCATTAGAAGTGAGGGAATCATTTAACTCATAGAGAACTGTGTAACAAATGCGCATTAATTCCTTTGTTTGCTAAAATGTATAAATAGTGAAAAGTTTTGGATGATCTTGAGACCCCCCCACACCAAGAAGCCCAGGGTGAAAAAGGACCAACAGGACACCGCTGGATCCATAGGTGGTGACTACCTTCTACCTGATCTCTCTCCCCACTCCACTCTTTTCTATTTCTTTCTATCTACCTCACCCTCATTTTTAACTAAAACCCATATTATTGACTTTGGCATATGGTCTTGCTTGCACCTTAATTTGGGCAGAGGCTTCTCTCACTAATCGGATCACAACAAGCCCTCATGCTCTACTAAACTAGAAGTAACTCTGTGTCTCTGTAATACTTGCTTCTAACACATGCACCCTTTTATACAGCTGTTTAATGGCTACAACCACCCGTAATGCTAGGAGTAGCTGTGGCCTGATGCTGCCACATCTAAATAAATATATCTAGAGGTATTTATCAATGGTGATAATGTTTCTGAGGCTGGAAGATGCTGCAGTGTATATGCAAATATAGTTACAATTTTGCTCCTGCTTGTCACAGCTTTAAGCCTTGAAGGGCTCTGCACTCTGGCAGCTGTTTTCCACAGTGTTCAGTATCAATCATGCTGCTGTAAACGAACAACAGACACCATGCCCTTTCATGGGCAACTCTATGCTGCTCGGAAGTGTTTCACAGTCTCTGCTTACCTTCTGAAAGAGAAAAAATCTGATTCAAAAAATCTGAAAGACATTCTAATGCCAGCGATGGCACCAGTGTTTCTTTGTGCTCATAAACGTCTGCAGTTAAAAAATTGGAGATTGACCTAAACTTCTCTTCAGAAACTGAGCAAAATTAGGATTAACCTGAATCTTACAATAAATAACGTATCACTCACTACCATTTAGGAAAATAAGGTAACTTGGTCTAAAAACTTTGCATGTATTATATGCTTTGATCTAAGACAAACACTGTTATTTATAGTGAAATAATAAAATAATGGTAATACAGAAGCTTTCAGGTGGCCAAGGAGGGATTTTTATGGCTCCAAGACTTATTTGTCATAACTATTATTTATTGCCCCTTTAAAAAGCTTTCATACCATTACCATGGCTGCTTTTTCTCAAGGATCAACAAAACATAAATATTTTCTGCCCTTTAATGTACATTCAGGATGAAGTTACTCCAAATGGAGATACTACATTACTCTCAGGATCATTATCCTCCCTGACCCCATCCCTTCCCATCCCTAGGTTCCCTCTTGCACATGCACAGGACCTTGTCCGTGGAAAAATTTCCTCACTGTACAGTGCTTTGGTGACACAGAAATGTACGAGTATATTAGGGGGAGGAGGGAGGTAAGTCAGTAAATGGGCTGCAGTGTTTTGACCTGGATACCATAAGCACCCACACATGAAATGATACAGCACTCCTGAGAAAGTACTTTATTCTGATTTCAAGTTTGGTTGGGTTTCAACCTCCTCCTTCCCAGGAGGTTACATGTCTTCCCAACTTTACACAGGGAAGACTAGTTAAGTCTCTTTGTATTTAAAGGAATAAACCAAAGTCATATTTACTTCCCTTTCATGGTTTAATAAGTAGTTAAATGCTTACCTATGTTTCTAAAGACATCATTCCCTGCTTCAATGGTGTATCTTTGTCTGGAGTGGGAGGATAGTCCAGTCTTCTCTCCTGTACTATACCTCTTATGACCAGCCTGCAGACTGATGGGAATGTACAGAGTTAAAATATGCTGGTCAAAATCTGTTTCTCAACAGCCCAACTGGCAGAGCACAAATAGGGTAAGTAACTGCTCACTAGCTGGCAGATTTTTTTCTTACTATCTGTATTCAAAATATAACCTCGAGTAAGGATACTTATTTCTACCAATTGCATGACCATTCACAGCTCAAGAGCAGCTCTGCCACTAGCCATAACATAACAGTCAGAGCTTTCTATACATTAAACAAATATTCTGCTCAAAGCAAAAACCAAATAGAAATAGCAGTGTCACAACAGACCAATGACTCCATACCAAGACAACAAAAAGACACAGTGACTAAAGTGACTAATAACAGTGATAGAATAAGCCTCTCTACATTCAAAAGCTATGTAATCTCTTATGTGACTCACTGCTATCTTGGTTTCAGGTTATTTATTTGTATTTTTGGCCAGAAATTAGAAAATCATGAGAATTATCTGGGAAAACAGGCCTGCAAAGGACCAGGTTAGTTATGCCCTCCATAATCAAAACATATTATGTCATAGGTTTTAAGTCCATATAATTCCAATCTCATTCACACAACCCACAAAATGCTATTCATTATCCACAGCATGCAAGTCAAGCCCTCAGTGACTGCAGTGCACTATGGGAAGAGAGATTCAGAGGCTGGAATAGGGGGCTGCTGCTGGCTATGTGTTCACAAGTAGGCAACTCTTGAGGCTGCAAAGTACAATGAGGCATCACTTCATCTCCAGCATCATGCCTCTCCCAGACAGGAAGAAAAAAAAAAGAAAATTGATAGAAGAAATGTTATGTGTTCCTGTGGAGAGAAAATTAGTTCTCTTACTGCTAGAAAGTAGTGACCAATACTGGTCTAAAGTTGGTGCAGCACCTCTATCTGGGCTGGATTTAGCATGAACTATAGTCATTACCACATAATCACACCAAGCGCCAGAGAAAAATTAAAAAAAAATAACAAACAAGCAACCACAAAAATAGAAAACCCTCATCAAAATAACTGCAAAATTCTGCACAGGCATTCTGGCATTCCTCAGTTCTGGA